TCCATCAATCACATTTATTTGGCACTCATTGGATTTTAATTTAATGCTGATTTAGTTTTTTTTTTTTTAAATAATTGTTTAATGGTACATAACATTTCTAGTGAAGGGTCCACCACCTGCTTATCTCCATTGCTTTGTCTAGAATGTTCCACGCTATATATTAAACCTATCTATCAAAAGGGAGACAAGCAGGTTACAGCACTGTGCTGCATTACAATTCAGGTCTGTGGAGAGTCCCTCTTATTCACAGAAGGAATTATTCTCTTTTTAGCAATAGAATAACTCATAATGATGAAATGTTTAATGTCATAACATGAAACATTCCAGGCAAAGCAATAACATCTACAAGGAGACAAATACATGGTGAACCCTCCACCAGAAAAGTTGCATAGTGCACATTTAACTTAGCCAGGCTGGTGCCACCTAGTGCCTCCGCTCAATTTCATTTCTCTCCAGCGAGTAGGTCAGACATCGGAATACATTGGCACATTTGTAAAAACCCGGGGAGTGCGAGTCCGGGCACGAGCCAATCAACGAAGAGCCATATATTGTGTGTTGTCAACGATTCCCGGGATTGAGGATTTAAATCCGGAACAAAGAGAAAGTTTGGTGACGTTATTGCCCTTCTTCCTTCAGGATTTGGGAAAAGCTTAATATACCAGTTAGCCCTGTTAGTGGCGCAATACATACGTCACGACCAAATAGCAGCAATTGGTTAAATGAAAAAAAGTACCCACCTACCATCGAGCAAACGAATTCTAACACTGCGAGGTCAAACGGTTTCTACGAAGTGAAACTGGCTGATGAATCAGGTGACCTTTAACTAACAGCTAACTTAAAATATTAGAGTATGCACTTGAATTCCCAGGTCCTTGTATTTGTTTTGTTCATTTCTGTGCTTGATAATTGATACATTGCATCTGATGCTAACTGTAGGCTCTGCTGTATCTCAGATTTGTTTAATCTGAAGCTTTAATCTTTAATTTAACATAATCTGTCCAGAAAGAATTGATTTAGCTGGAACCACAATGGGTGTTTTACAAGAGAGCTAGTATTAGCCAACAGTTTTTCAGTTAATCACTCTCATGTTTTTCATTAAAAGTCAAACTCCACGAATAGTGAATGGGTCCTTAAGGCCTGCACTATGGATGCTCATTGCTCCAAACAGGTTGTCCTAGCAGCAGTGACTAATTGGTCAAATGCATATGGAGACAAAGTATATCCTTACATAGCAACTTTTTAAATATATGGGGTTTGTGTGTTAAACATGTGTGAATGAAGCAAAACACAACTCCAGTATGTTTTTAATGAGAAAACAACATTACACTGTAGATTGGAAAATAGCATAATAAAGGACCTTTAAATTTCATTACTGACACTGATATTCTATCTATTCTATCCACAAAGAGACAGAAATATTTGTTCTTTCAGTGACCCCTGGTGGCGTGATTATCTAGAATTTTAGATCCATATGTTGATCCATATGTTGTTTGTGTTGTGTGTGTGTGTGTCATTATGATGTTTTGTACAAAACTGTAGGTGTTATTCATGGCAAGCAACAGGTGTTTTCCGAACTAAAATCCTTCACTTGTTTGAAGCTCGTTTCCATACCATGTGATATAAACCTGTCTCTTCTTATGGGGGCAGATGTTATAAATAGAGCCCCTCCAGCGCCTCTGCTCTGCTCTTTCTCCGGCACAGGATGAGAAATGATGCTTTGTGAGGTTGGGCGCCGGATGCTCGGAGGCATCATATAGACGGGCCAGTAATGAGCCTATGATTGCACAATCCTGCGCACAGGGAAGATTGGAGGAGGAACAGGGCTTTGGAGATAGACCATGGTCCAGGGAGAGGCCTTTGGTAATCCCCAGACCTCTTCTGAACCCACTGGCAACAACAGCACCACCTGCTCCCAGCTAAATTCTGGGCTTGTGATATACATTTGCTGGGGAAACTAGGCATCTACAAATTCAACTGCACTTGATTGACACTTCATAAGTTTTTCATGCACAACACTTTGGTAAGGAGCTCACAAGGAGTTCATATAAAGTTTTTCAATATCATAATATGAATCATGAAAGCAAGGATAAAATAAATGTTTTCTATACATTAAAGGCATATAGACAATTTTTATCAACCACAAACCAGGAAGTAATGCTTGTACACAGTTAGCATAGTTGTGAAAAGTGCTTATAAATTCATTGTGGTGAATACATAAGGTACTAGGATGTGTTAGGAAAGTGAGAACTAAGACCTTGGAACTTGGACCACTGCAAACTGTTCAAATCTGGCAGCTACATTGCCTTTAATAAAAAAATAACATCACACATTTTAATCTTAATTGCTTTGGGAGCAGAAAAATTGTTGCACAAAGAGATCAAAACTAAATATTCTCTTGACATAATACAGAATGCATTACAGATGCATTTAAGAATATAAATGCATGCCCAGGTCTTTTAATCAGAATAATGAATGAATTATACATTAAGGTTCTCATATTACACTAGTTTCTGATCTAGGTTATAATGTCATCACAGATATACATGGAATACTGTTTTGTTTCATTCACACATGTTTAACACACATATTTAGGCTGAGTTCTCTGATGTTGTGGTAATATAAAAGTTCCAAGCTCTACTGTAAAAAGTATACTGTTAACCTGAAAACTACTGCTTCATGACATCACAAGGTAGAATAGAGCATTTTAAGCTTTGGAGTTGTAGACACACTAATAATACAGGCTTATTCAAATGTATGAATGAAACAAAACACAACTCCAGATATGGTTTTGATGAGGTCACAGCAACATAACATGGCATCAAGTGTTCATTTTGTGTAATATAGGAAGTTTAATGAACTACTTTCTCATACCCAGTAAACCTCCTCTGAAAATACAAAAGTTACCATCCTGACTTGACCCAGTTAGAACTCTACCTCAACATAATATGACTATTGTAATATTCCCACAGCTCGACCCCATTCATTTATCTCTTTGTGTTTCTGATTAGGATAAACTGTTTTGGGATGGAAATTCACAGTTAATGAGTGAACAGTGGAGGTAGCGTAATCACCATCGCCTACAGGGAGTCAATCAGTCTGCACTACCTGGGCCCTGCATGGTACGAGTGGAATAGTGGAATGAATCACCTGGAATAAAGTCAACCCAGAATCCCCCTTTCATTTTTCATAATGACGCTGAGAAAACAGGAGGCGCAGCTGTGATTAAGTGCACTGTATGTGACATGTCTAACAAGTGATAAATGGGACAAGCATGAGGAAAAATGATCACACATATTGCAATGCTGTACGCAAGTTCAAGCCTTTTCCTTTTTTGCTTGGTGAAGTAAAATATGTTAAAGAAAGAGATAGCAAATGGTATTTATAATTTATGTTCGACTATATGTTAGCCTACTGCCCTCTGATGCACCGCTATTGTTTACAGCATATTCAGCAAACTCATAAAAAACAAGTGAAAACTGAACAACCACTGTTACTACAGCTACCTTTGTTGCTCAAGCGTCATTTGCTGCTACTGCAAAGTCATTTTTGTTTGCCATCAAAGTTTGTGCTACTACTTGGTAAAAAAAAACAACATGACAAACAAACGGCTAGGGGATTTCAACTTGTAAATGTGTATGTGTTTTTGTCTCATATTTTAAACAATATAATCAGACCACTGCAAGCTGTCTGTATCAAATTGTGAGACATTTTATTGATTACAAACCTGGAATGTGTCGTCATATAATACTTTTGGGATAAGAGCACCCCTGCTTCGATTCATAACCTTTAGAAGCTGTTCTAAAGCTGTCCATGTTCATGCATGTGAACACTGATGATGTGCCAAAGGGTTTGTGAGATCTATAAAAACAAGTTACAGTACATTTAAATCCCTACTTCCTCCTTTCACAGTTTGAAAATCAGGCTCCAGGCTGTAAATTCCAATATATTCAAAAGATTTTCAGTATATGAAAAGCTCAAAACTCTAGAATTCACTCACTGAGCTGCAGAGGCTGCACTAGCACTGATTCATTATTTGTAGGTGTTTGTAGGTGTTCATACCAACTAGATTTCAGCATTGAAACTGGCAAATCAAATGAGAGTCTCATGTGAGGCTCGTTATGCCCGAGCCCCTTGGCGCAGGACCTGTTGTGTTTATAACAATTTGTACATGGGCAAAGCCCATCACACATCATTGTCAACTGTCTTATAAAGTTGAGCGCTTAACTTCATCCCTCGGTCGCCCCCTGCATTAACAGCAGTATCCTAGCAACCCATGCCATAGTTTGAGAACCAAAATTGTAATTAATTATAGATCAGCATTACAACTGTTAGCAGTAAGAGTTAGATTTGAGCATTTGAGTCTGCTTCATATCTCAGGATACAGTTAGGTCATATTGAACTCAAGGGCTGCTTATACAATATATCTGTACTGGGGCTAGACTAATTTTGGTCCTCACATACAAGAAAAAGTAATGTGAACAGCCTTTTTACCATG